GAGATCATGTAACCGGGAGCTTTCCACCACGGCAGACGGCCGTACACGCAGTGCGCCAGTGTCACGGCCGTGTTGAGGTTGGCACCACTGATGCCCTCAGAGCAGTAGACGCCGATGAGCACACCAATGCCCCAGCACATGTTGATGCTGAGCCACGTGCCGTTGGCGTCTTGCGAGTTGGTCACTTGGTTGTTGACGCCCATACCGAAGACGATCATGACGAAGGTGCCGAGGAACTCGGCGAAGCACTCGCGTAGATGCACGCTCTGTACGGCGAAGCGGGCCATACCCGTTCGATCAGGGTACGCGACTGCTTCCTTGGGGGTTGTAGTCATACCGGCGTAGCCATTCTCGGCTTTGTCAAAGTCGTCGCTTAGGGCGAGTGGCTCAGTGACGACGGGGTTAGCTTCGACCACTGGGTCCTGTGCAGATGGGAGCGGGGCCATGGATAGTAAAAGTAGGAGGACCGATCGGCTGGGGAAGTGGTAAAATACAAAATGAGACAGGAGAAGTTGGTTTGCGTCGTTGATTTCGATATATAAGTTGACCAAGTCTTGCTTGAGACCTCGAATACTCAGAAAACGATCAAGCGCCGGCGACACGGAAACCGCAGCACCAGTCGTTCGACCGATCCCGCACATGGAGACTTGTCGTCGCCTCAACTCGGCAGCATAACTTACCGTTAATATGGTGCGTTAATAAGTTGCCAACTGACAGTGACGTGTTGACTGACCTGCATGGCAATGTGTGCTGTTTGGTGTCACGTATCTTTGCAATGCTGAGGCCGGTAATGTGTCAAACGAGGATAACCTCCAATTCTAGCTTGAGGTCGTCAAATGAAAATCTATAACTGATCTTCTTGGCAGCTTTTTGCTGGTGTAGACATTGAAATCCGTGATAACCAGATATTGGTTTTTTAATACCCTGGTACGCATCGGATCCTACATCCTCGAATATTTGCCTAGAGAAGTATGACCCGGTCTCAGTGATAACCACGCCGCAACAAGCCGGTTTTCTGGATACTGAACTATGATGGAAAGCCAGCGCTGATCATCGAATCACAAACGACTCGTATTTTTGCAATGAAGCAATTCCTTAGCAAGCAACACCATGTACTGCCCTCGACCAATCCAGAGCAACAATTTTAGACGATTGCTCATCTAACAGCTCGCAAACAGGAATGGCAATTGATCTGGCATCATAGACCTTGTCTTTAGGCTTAACGAGGGATTGAACTCAATCGACGAATCGTCCACTATCATCTCATAGACTTTTGTTTCGTTTATTTGTCGAGTCGATTTGAATATGGTACCGAGTTTAATTTGGACCTAATTTAACGATTCCAAATTTAAGATGTATCCGAATTTAACCCTTTGATTTGCATTTCTAATGGATTTCTAAATGTGTTAACTTTTGTTGCGTTTTTCTGCTTCGGCGGCACCAAGCAGACTTAGCATCTGATTGAGCAAACGGAGCCGGAGTCCGTTCTCGACGTTCGTTAGGAAATGTAGCATCAACTTATTGACAAGCATTACCAAAGTAATGCTGGGTATCGTCTACTAGATAGCGTACACTACTGGCCCAAAGCATTTGAAGTTCAAAAGCTAAAATTCAATGAATACATCCGAGTTTGAGCCGGCAGGGCCGAAGAGACAAGCGCTCATTGACCTGATTGTTTTTTTCTAGTCGCGGCTCGACTGGATGAAACATGGGAGAGACCAGCTGTGTCGTTGCTTGCCCAAAGACACTCATTTTTTTTTAAAGTTAAACACCAGGGTCCCTTGTCAACTCTTTATTTGTACTGAGCTGACACGGAGTCCCCGGTTTTCTCTATTGCAATTCACTGACTCATCTCCCGCCATGATCCTTGTGCTCCAGGCTCAGCATTTAAGCGAAACCACTTGTCGTAAGTACTCTTTACCTGGGAAAACTATTTCTCGCCACAACGGGATAACTTGAAATGCATCATAGTCGAGACCACCACGTCACTGGGAATGGTTTTAATCATGGAGCGATTTACTTTTGCTCTTGCATACATGCAGCTACTTCTGAGTTTCCAGTTTCCTGCCTAAAGGGGCTCGTTTTGTCAATTATAAAGCATGAAGGACCACTGTGAATCTCACATGTCAAACCATCTTCATGGTAGTGTATGCGAAGTTAAGACGTGGCTCTGCGATCGATTTGAAGGAGGGTGAGCACTTTCTGAAGCGCTATAGAAAAACGCGCTTGGCGTGCGTCCAAGCACCTGCGCTATGGAGTCAAACATACAATTTTAATCTTTGACCGCTTCACGCGCACGTTGGCTCATGGGTGCCACGACTCGCGCTCTCTCTTTCGTCTGGCGCTGTTGCTGGCATAGTGTTTTCCATTCTCACATTCTACAATATCCTCTGTGGATAGCAAGCATTAAACCATTCGAGCGCTAATGAACCAATCGCTCCAAGATTTCGACGCGGTCGACAAGGTCGAGAGCGGCTACGGCGGTCTACCGGAAAGTCCAAAGACTACCGCGTTTGTCCCCACCGAGCGTACGGGAATGTCCCGCTTCGCCGTGCAGAGCGTGCATCTACGCGAGTGCTTCGCCGAGTTCCTCGGCACCTTCGTCATGATCGTCTTCGGTATGGGCGTCAACAACCAAGT